CAATTATCTCTTTCTTTGAATGTTCCCACCATAAAGTTACACATGCAATGGAAATGACAAAAGATAAAATTCTGTACAAGGTAGAGTTTTTCTTTTGCAAAAGATTAATATCTGCCTTTTTTTTTTCAAGCCAGTCATCTTTCCTTTCTCAAGCTGTTTTTGCTTTTTCTATGCCTTGTTCACCACTTCAGTTATTAATCTTGGATCGTGCCCTTCATTTGCTCTTTTTTACCAGCATTATCCATACCAATTAATTACTGGTATCATGCTACATACAGTCATTCCAGGCAAGCCTCACCATATGCTGTCTCACCTACTCCAGTACAGTTCATCTCTGAAAGAAACGTGAACAAAAAGAGATGAAGTTATCTTGCAGGTAAGTACCATGGCTGGACTATGATTAAAGCTGTTTATCTGTTCTCACTCCTGCTGTTAAGGGTGAGGTCCCACCTCAGATCAGTGTCCCTTAGATCAGTATTTTCCTTCCAGTCAGTAGAGGGTTCTTAGGGAAACGTGGGAGGGGAGAAGGATGTTCTTGACTCTTCCCACCTACTCTCCTCAAGCCCCAGTAATCTGCAGTCAGGTCATGCAGCCCTTAAAGGGAGTTCTAACGACACCACTGTGGTTACTGTATCTCTGGCCTTAAAAGTTCTTGGCTTTCCTACAATAATTTTCCTTTCACTCGCATCCACATGAAATCATTGCCATTTTGCTTTCTCACATACGATTTTCTAAAGTTCCACACAACTCAAAGACCAAGTTATGTATACTATCTAGTGTGTATTTATTACATGTTGGTGTATAATTAGTCTGAATAAAAAATACCACACATATAAATCATCTAAAACCAGGGAGGTATGGAGAAATGGTGCAAGCCCCAAGACTGTGCTCTCTCTAATGAAGCTCTGGCAGGTAACTAGCTCAAGAAACAGATATGTTTAAGAAACATTGTTACATATTTTTCTGCTTCTTTTAAAGAGAATCAATGCTCTTACTGCTATAGTTTATGTAAAAAAGCTATTCCAACTCTCTGCATACATTTTTATTTTTTTTTATGGCACACTGAAAAGCATTCACTGCATTGCTGAAAAGGAGAAAATCTGCATCTATGTATGAAAGCAATCAATTCATTCCACTTATAATGAGATTTCTCCTGTCACTTCAGTTTGATTGTTTACCTTTACAACTGCCTCCCATGCTGTTTCGAAAAGAAGAAGAAAAAGAAATGGAAAAATATCAAAAGCCAAGCAACTCAACATGACTATGTTTAATCTCATCACTACCTGTTCTGAAGAATGTATTTGCATATTTATAATACTGTATTACTACAGGATGACAACCTTTAATGGCAGCATGCAAGCCAGCAAGATAGTGAGAGGTCAACCTGTTCTAAGAACTCACTGGAAACTAGCTGTGCTCTTACGGTGGGCACAATTCTCAGCGGTCATGGCTATGCCAAACAAGTTGAACAATACCTTCTCTACAATTTAAAAATAAATGCAAGTTATACAGCTAATAAATATTTCAAGTTGTACCTACAGTTTTGCAGGACAGATCAAAAGGAAGCAGTATCTAAAAGCCAGCATCATCTTCTGTTGTGTCTAGTGGACTGTTCGTCTTTCATGATGGTGCTTGTTTTTCCTGTCAGAACACTGTAAGATCTTTATCCTGTTACAGAAAACTAAAATTCTGCTAAGCCAGGGGCATTAGCTTAAGCACAGAGATTTAAGTACTCACATTACCTATGCTGCTCTGGAAGAATCATAAGTTTTCCTTATATCCCAAATAACATTCTGCAAAACTGTTGCAGTTACAGTTGGGCATCTCTTCAACAATTTCTAACAAAACTTTCTGCGATACATATTTAAACTCTGTGGTATATAGTGCACAATTGGAGTTATTCATAATACTCATTTTAAGTAAGTTGGATTGGCTTTTCGAATTAATCTATCCTGTTCCCAAACTGTAGGAACAGCAGATACTAAAATATCTCATATCACTCTTAACAAGTATCCCCTGAGGCTCTGGAAAAGAACAACCCAAATTTTTTAGTCTCTGAAATTTACCCACAGATTTCTTTTTTAAATAAGGAAATTCTGAAGAGCAGATATACCTACCCTGACAGAGTCTGCTTCCCAGAACTGGAAACTGCCCCTCCGCATGCCCAGAATCAGAGTATGGCCAGAGTTGTTCATTGTAGAGCCAAGCATTTGCCTACTGTCATTTTTGCACTAAAAAAACCCCAAATCAGTGGATCAGCTCTTTTCGTATACTAAGTACCTAAGGATTTAGGCCATAAATGTATTTAGTATTTTTCAGTAGAAATTCTGTTTCTGTTGTTCTGACGCAGCTCAGCATCCAGCTGCACTGGACTGGAGTCGAAAAGCACATGTGCCTGCAGTCTGCCTAGGAATTATTATGGTTCATGGCATACTATGGACAGCTTTAAGGGAATTCTAGTTTACAGAGAGAAATTACATAGATTTTTCTTGAAAATTCCTATAGAAGGAAGACTTACCTGCCAATATGAATAAGTTGATTTCTTGCATGGTACAAAACAAGCACAACAAGCCTCCAGACTTTGGAAATTTGTATTTAAATCAGTAAAATAACACTGCATAAATAAGACTAGTGGGCTTGTTTTATGGCAAGAAAACTTTTAACCAGAGCAAGCTGTACTTTCCTTAGCAATGTTGCAATTCACACTATTATTTATGCTCACAGTCAAATACATTTTCTTTAAGTTCCGCCAGTATCTCAGCCTTGAAACTCCTCTCTGAAATGCTAATTGTAACTAACATCATCCCATGATCATTCTCAGCTTCTTTTGCTTGAAACTGGTAATAGTGATGTAGCTCAGATTATTCCTATCTCTCACTGCAATAGCACAGGGATTTTGTCTTCTTTTAAGTCAGTAATGTCTAAATTGGATTAAGATAACAGTCACTTACAAGGTCTTCTCTACAGATGTTGCTTTCATCACTGACATATTTAATGCTATTTTACTCTAGAACTTCATTTTTTACACCATTCTCATATGAATGTGTTTCCATGAAGTTCATACTTCATTTCAGATTACACTTATGGACTAAACTCTCTATGAAAAGAAAAAAAAAATATCCTGAATTTTGTTTTTGCTGACATAAGTGAATGTAATAACTGGCATGCTGGCACTGTTTGTTGTGATCAGATGAAATTCAAATGCTATGATAACAAGAGTGACCAATCTCAAAATCAGAGGACTTAGCCTGTCTATTTATGTGTGTCTAAACATTTTTAGCTGGTAACAAGCCCTTCACACTCCCCTGTCTGGGCAGTGGCTGCTCTTGGCAATAATAGTCTGAGTGGGTGGCTGAGAACGGAGCTGGCAGATGCAGTACTAATGCAAATTACTGCTACTTAGCAGCACATGCATTCATTCATCCAGGGAGCAATTTTTTATCATTCCAGAAGTAAGCCAAAAGTCATAAAATATATTACTTGTCAATATGTAGAAATAAAATCTGTAATGTATTCAACATTTATGACCATAAAATATAATTTTAAATAGGTAATTGAAGTGTCAGTATGCTTAATGTCATAAAGAAATCTCTGAAAAACTGAAATACATTCTGTGTGCCTAATTTGTCTGTTTTGTGGGTGTTTTTTCAATATTGCAGCTGGAGACCTCATAATGCAAGTCTTACTGCTAACAGGCATTACCAAGACCAAATAATGACAACCATATAATCCTGATTAGCGTCTCCTTGATTCTGGCATATTATTGCTTTCATTATTTTAGCTACTTAGATGAATGACAGAGGTGACAGAAAGGAAAGCGGAATACAATGCACAATGTTACTAAAGGCAATATACAGTTCAGTGAAATTAGCTGTCATTATATCTGTGTCGACCATAATACTGCTGTTCTACAGACTGTAAAGCAAGATGCCACAATGCAATCAGTACTTGTTCTTTGGGTCATGAAGCTGCCTTACCTTACAAATAATTACCTTAGGTGCATTGACCAGGCAGTGATTCCAAACTCAATTTTTTGCTTTTATCTATAGTGCATTTTTACACAGATTTAAGCAAAATATCCACTTTGTTATATTTTTTAGAATTATGCCCTAAACAAATATTCAGTCTTCTAGAATCATAGACTCATTTTGGTTGGAAAAGACCCTTGAGATCATCAAGTCCAACCATAAACCTAACACTGCCAAGTCCACCACTAAACCACGTTCCTAAGCACCACATCTATACGTCTTTTAAATACATCCAGGGATGGTCACTCAACCACTTCCCTTGGCAGCCTGTTCCAGTGCTTGATGACCCTTTCAGTGAGGAATTTTTTTCTAATATCCACTCTAAACCTCCCCTGGTGCAACTTAAGGCCGTTTCCTCTTGTCCTATTGCTTATTACTCAGGAGAAGAGACCAACACCCGCCTCGCTACAATCTCCTTTCAGGTAGCTGTAGAGAGCGATAATGTCTCCCCTCAACCTCCTTTTCTCCAGGCTAAAAAACGCTGGTTCCCTCAGCTGCTCCTCAGCAGACTTGTGCTCTAGACCCATCACCAGCTTCACTGCCCTTCTTTGGATACACACTTTTAAAAAAGTCCCATCTTTAAAGAAACAATAAACATAAGAGGAAACCTATCCATGCACACCAATATTACAGCAGTAATCTATACAAGTTATACTTTCTCAGGAGATACGGACTTCTCTCAGAACAAATGAACTTTAAGGTGGTTTCTCTTTTTGGTGAATTATTTAAAATAACAGTGGTAATATGGTAACTGTGGAGGTCTACAATTATATGGGCAGCAGGGTTTGTGTAGCAAGAGAAAAACTGTATTTAAGCAATTGATGTAACCTGAAAAAAATAAACTTGCCTTGGAGTCAGAGTCTATTATGAGTCTATTAATTGAGTCATTAATAAGTAGACAAGCAACCTAAATGTAACAGCTAAAGCACAAATGTTTTGACACTAATTGCAACCAGAATCCAGACACAGTACCTTAGCTTTATCCCTCATGGATCCTTTCCCCAGGATGGACATTTTTGCACCTGTTTCTTCTTGTAACCTCTTCAAGGAGTTTCCTCTTGGTCCAAGCAATTTCCCAACAAAATTGAACTACAAAGCAAGTAAGAGAACTGTTTCAGACCAAGAGATACTCTTCAAAAACTTAATACATCTTTATAAACAAGTTGCTTAACAGAGAAAAGTTTACTTTCTTTTTTATAAAAAAAATTACTCCCACCTAGTTCTGAGCCTAATTTATTGGGATACAAGTCCAGTGAACTGAGGTATCCTCTCATGTAGTGCAAAAGGCAGCAAAAGCATTCATGGTTTATTTGTACTTCACGAGGCTTCTCTCCAGGACAAAAATGGCCAATGGCTGCTTAGGTTTATCTAACTGCAAAATAAGATCTTTGCTTATCATATGGTGTAGGTGAAACCCAGAGAATGCATATGTTCTTTCCTGAGTTAGCCAGCTTTATTGGCAAGGTAATATATTCTGCAAAGTTAGAGCTTTAGAGGGATTTTTAGGAACTGATGTTTTACACGTTGATTTTAAAATAAGTGCTGCTTTGTGTATTCGCTTCAAATATCTGCTTTGCCAGCAACAGAACAACTCACAAAAAATAGATTACTGTAGATATTCAAGGTTATTTTCTGAGAGGATTTTGAAGAACATGGGGCTTTGTCTGACATGCTGCTAATATTCTTAAACACCGCACAGTTCATGTGACACATATAACTTATCTTTCTGTATGAAGAGCGCAGATGTCTACATGAAAATCAGAGGACAGAACAATAAATAAATCAGGTGTTAATGTTACCTTGGCATAAACTAGCAAAAAGGGGGATTCTATTAAGTAACAGTAACTTCTTTATTCTGTAACCAACAGTCTCTTCCATTTATTATTTTTTATGCTTTCCAAAATCTTTTAAAAACTTTGTGGCATGCTGTCTTTGGAAGTTGACTGCGAACCATCAGCACTTGCTTATGATATTTCTAAAATATGTTCAAATCTGAATCAACAGTGTTCTGGCCTGGTTTTCAACAAAGAATAAGCTTAGCCAAGGAAAACTGTGTGTAATTATATTGGCACTTCCTTGTTTTTATTTCAGAAATAAAGAACATGACAATAAGAAATGGCAATCAAGAATATGCAGCTGTCAAAAATACACCTGAATGTCTAAAACGATGTTATAACATACCTTGTTTTGCATTACTTTCTATTTTAAAAATGAAAAAATTTGGGAAGTGTTGCTGTTTTCACTTTAGCCAGCATGTATATAACAGCACAAATGCATCAGCCATGTTAATAACACCCAGACTCAGAATCAGCCATTTACCCTAGAACCCAAGCTGGCTTTCAGGCCAGTGTCTTAACTACAAATCACTTTTAATGTCCTTCAAATATTGGTTAAACCATCAAAAATACACAATCATATGAAAAATAAATATGTAACGTAAAATCTACTGCCACCTAAAACAACCTAACTGATTTCAGCAAGATAACGTGTCTAGGCAGAAGTAGTAAGTGGCAACATTGCAGAAAAACCCAGCAAGCTTTGAAGCTCAAAAAAAGTATTTTTCAAGCTTATGTGTGGGGTTTTTTTCCAAATCACAGAATCACAGAATGAATCACAGAGTCACAGAATGGTAGGGGTTGGAAAGGACCTCTGTGGGTCATCTAGTCCAACACCCCTGACAAAGCAGGATCACCTACAGCAGACTGCACAGGACCATGTCCAGGCCAGTTCTGAATATCTCCAGAGAAGGAGACTCCACAGCCTCCCTGGGCAACCTGTTCCAGTGCTCCGTCACCCTCAGAGGGAAGAAGTTCTTCCTCATCTTCAGACGGAACTTCCTGTGCCTCAGTTTGTGCCCATTGCCCCTTGTCCTGCCACTGGGCACCACTGAAAAGAGTCTGGCCTCATCCTCCTGACACCCACCTTTAAGATATTTGTAAGCATATATTAGGTCCCCTCGCAGCCTTCTCTTCTTCAGGCTGAAATCTATCTGTTGATTTAATAAAAGTTATCAACTCTTCAATAAATCCTACCTGATTTTGGGGTAAGATTTAGAAATGATGCCCCATCATGGCATCACCAATCTTATGTCTTGAAACTGTAGCTATGCTTCTTCCAGGGACAACTTGCCTTAGAAGAAGTTGCTGGCTTCAAATTGATTATTAAATTTTGTATGAAAATAAACCAAACGTTGAGGAAGGAATGGCAAGGACTGAATTTTGACTTTAACACTAGACCTTGGACTTTATCGCTAGAAATAAGATTTCAAAAATTACATATCTTGTGTACATGAAGGTTTATTGGAGATGGCCGAGCAAACAGCAGAGCTTTTGTCTTCTGCAGGGACGCCCTTACATGCAGAATGGCTGTTCACAAGTTACAACACCAAGTCTTCTGTGCCACTTATACATCACCGATCAGAGAAGAACCAACTAATGCTGCATCCTTTCAGTGTCTCTTAATATTAAGAAAAACTGTCCCTTGAAAGCTGAAAAAGCTATACTGCTACGTAAGTTTGGAGGAGACTACGAGAAGGCCAGCCAAAGCTCAACTCCATTTGTTCTCTGAATGAAATAAAACTATTAAAATATACTCTATGAAGATTTATGCTGACCATTTACATTTAAGCACTTCATAAACTGTCTAATAATTACCTTGACATATGGCTGCAAAGGAGCGGTATGGCCAGCATAAACTATGTACAAAGTGGATTTTAATCACTTCACAGGAAATAAGTGGCTGGGGATTTTAATTCTATTGATTATGTAGCAGACCGATACTCACGCTTCATCCACCTTCTGAAAAACACACATCAGAAAGCAAGCAATTACTTACAACTGAATAACTGAATTGCTCTTAACATGGTTTTGCCTAAAGTTGCAGAAAAGCCAGTGCAATCTACGAGACATTGAGCTGTTGTGCTCAGTCTGCCCAGTGTCAGCAAGCTCTGCGGCCACTGGCTATCCTCAGCACCAGCCTATAATCACAAAACACCCAGAAGTTTGAAAATACTGATGGAGTAACTTTGACTCAGTAACTTATGAACAATTAAATTCTTTATGTTCACTTGTGGGTAAAAACAGCAGACAAGTAAGCCAAAGTTTCAGTGAACAGCACAAATTGTAAGAAATTTGAAATACAACTTCATTCTTCTTATTTATTTTACTAAAATACGCTGGATAAGAACCTGCACAGAACTATTTTTTATACTGAAAACCTTAAGCTCCAGTTATGGTCGCAGACACAGCCAAAGTATACAGCTACAGTGAAGGAAAATGTAAAAACTCAGGCAGTTTGACTGCATGTAATGACGACCCTTGTCCACAAACACCCATTCTTGGTACAGTCACTGTAACTGCAGAATCTTCTTCTGCAATCTTAGTTCTGACCCAATTCCATCATGTATTATTTCTCCAAATAATAGTAGGTCTAGGTCTGTGGGATAATATCTGGTCATATTCGGAGAGGACAGCTGAGAAATGATGACATACAGAAGAGAGGGTATTAAGTGAAAGCTTTCATTGCTATGGAGAAAAAAGTCTTCCACTTGAAAAATATGGTTATCGTTGTGTTAATGGATGTTTTCATAGGTGGCTTAACTTTTCAATCATATTTATGAACGAGCTAGGCTTTCTGTGTGATTGTAGAAACCCTTCCTGGTTTATGGCAAAGATTTTGCACATTATTTTCTTAGATTTTTTTATCATTTGCCTGGAGGAAACAGATGCATGTCTTCAGGGGAAAATGATCACGTGATAGCAGGGGATGCTCTACTTATAATCAAATGCATATGATGCTTCGTGTGTCAACAGCTGGGCAATAAACTTTCTCCTGAGCAGAATAAAACCTGACAAAGAACACAGCTCAATATATCTTTCGAGTATCCACAGTCAGTCTCCCCAACATCTTCCCAACCAACATACACACAGTTTCACCAGGTTTATTTGCATTGATTACTTTCATACTCCACCCCACACAAGCAATCAGACTGGAAGGTGCCCAAAGCCAACACTCTGTCTTCTCAGTCTCCGTCCAAGCTTTTGTTCATAAAACCTTTTTTTATAATCACAGGAAAACAGCCAAAAACGATACTGCACATGTGGACACAGAGAAATTATTGTCTTTCCCCTAACTGTGCTGCTCCCATCCATCTGCAAAGCTTTGTGCTTACACACAGAGAGTATTTAATGACAGTGTGAGACATTCTGCTCAAGTCTATATGCTAGGACTGAATATTTAAAACCAAAGATTAGATACCCAACAAGTATACAGAACATGGAGAAGTCTTAAAAACTAAGGTAACTACAGGTGGGTAAGCATCACCTCCATCCCGGATAAGATAATGAAGCAGCTCATTTTGGACGTCATCATTAAACAAGTGGAGGAAAATAAGGTTATCAGGAGTAGTCACCATGGATTCACCAAGGGGAAATCATGCCTGATCAATCTGATAGCTTTCTATGATGACATGACTGGCTGGGTAGATGAGGGGAGAGTCGTGGATGTTGTCTACCTAGACTTCAGAAAGGCTTTCGACACAGTCTCCCATAATCTCCTAGGGAAGCTCAGGAAGTGTGGGCTGGATGAGTGGTCAGTGAGGTGGATAGAGAACTGGCTGAATGGCAGAACACAGAGGGTTGTCACCAGCAGCGCTGAGTCTAGTTGGAGGCCTGTAACTAGTGGTGTCCCCCAGGGGTCAGTACTGGGCCCAGCCTTGTTCAACTTCTTCATCAACGACCTCGATGAAGAGTTGGAATGTACCCTCAGCAGGTTTGCTGGTGACACAAAACAGGGAAGAG